TTTTTGTGTGGAGTTTGCATGTTCTCCCTGCATTTGCATGGGTTTCCTCTGGGTGCTCCGGTTTCCCCCACAGTCCAAACAAAGACATGCGATACAGCTGAATTGGGTAGGCTAAATTGTCCGTATTGTGTGAGTGTGGATGAGTGTGTGTGGATGGAAGGGCGTCCACTGCGTAAAAATGTGCTATATAAGTTGGCGGTTCATTCCGCTGTGGCGACCCCGGATTAATAAAGGGACTTAGCTGAAAAGAAAATGAATGAATGAAAAATGTGTTAATTGTGCAGTGTGAATATCTTTTACTCAAATGAAATTTTCTGAATTATTTGTGCAGGAAATGTAAGCAAACGACCAAGTATTTAAATAAGTGATGTATAATTTGCATGTTTATGGACCATTTAGAAAACCTTTTTTCCTTCGTCCCTGGTTTATCAGAGTTAGCCACAGCAGAATGAACCCTCAAATCAGGCCTGTAGCCAGGGGGAGTTCAGGTGATTTAAAAGACCCGCCCCCCACTGACAAAGGTCCAGAATTTCCCATACATGAGCTCATTTGTTTTATTTTGGAAAAGCAGTAAGACCAAGAGGAATCGGACATAAGTGGAGCCGTCTTTCACTACTGACCAACAGTATAAAGTTTACAAGTAAGTTTTATTCTAAATCTTGGCTTTTGAATGAAAAAATCACACTGAGGAAAGTTGAATGTGATGGTCAGTTTGTTATTTGCCTAATAAATGACAATAGGCCACATTTTTTTTTATTTAAAAGTTTAACAGATTCCTGTTTTTCTAATGATAAATGATGTGATAAATTTGTTTTTTTTTTAAATAAGTATAAATATATTATTAATATATTAATATATTATTAGTATTTCTTATAAATTAGTAATTCTTTAGGAAATGTTTTTGTACATTAAAATGGTGGTTATGATGACCATCCAACAAAAAAATCCAGGAAAAAAAGTGCTTAAAATGTCACTAAAATGCAATATTTGAACCTCAAATTAAAAAAAAGAAAAATTAGGCAAATATCTGCAAAAACTGTCCACTTTTTAAGAAAAAAGAACCACCCCCTTTCACCAGGCTGGCTACAGGCCTGCAATAGATATATGCGGAAGTATGCTAAAGGACTTTTAATTTATTAGTAACCTGCATGGGTCAAGCTCGTCCCGTAAACTCTGTGCTATTACAAAATCGGCACGTTTAAGGTCTGTTTTCTTTAAAATCAGCGATCTCCACAGGCTGAGTGATATCCGATATAAAGTGGGTCTCAGATTGTAAAAGAAGCACTGCATTAAATTTCATTTCCCCGCCATGTTTGTAGAAAATAAACATTTATTTTACCCCAGTATATTCGATCTATCTTCTGCAGTAGCCTGCTAATCCTGACTGTCACGTGCGTGTAGGCGTCTTTACATTTCATTTTACGCTTGAGCAACTAATTGAACACTGAAGTCAATTTAAATGATTATGATTTATATTACAACATGGATACTGTAAAAGGAACCGTATAAAATGGAAAATAGTCACATTCATCGATCACCAGAAGTATATCAGTATGGAAAGAAACATTAGTTCTGCATATACCCTATTACTCTGGAATATGTTTAATGCAGCAGATGCCCTATCAGCACAACCCTGTGCTGGAAAACACCCATATTCTCATTCACACACATTTATGCTGAATGCAAGCAGAATCTGCCTTTGACTTGATTTGCTCACCAAAATCTCTGGATTGTTGGGTGACAATGTGTAAACAAAATCTAATAAAGGGTTACATTAAATTTGAATTTAGCAATCTCGAAACCATCCCCATCACTCCTTTTCTTCTCAGATGGGATGGCGGGCCAAATCAATGGTTATTATGGACTAACTTTGGCCCCTGGGCTCTAGTTTAGGCATATCTACTCTATATGATAAATACAACAACAACAAGTTATATTCAACGAGTGAGCACTGAGCAATATTTGGCTCATTTCCAACTCTCCAAGTTGTTAGTTTTCTTGTGCTAACATCAGTCTGCCAACGTGACCTATAGAATGTTCATCTGGCTTAGCATTTTGCTAAACATGCTGTGACATTTGCATAAGGCAGATTTGAAATCTGGAGAATATTGCACCTATTTGTTGTGCTGAGTCTTTGGCAACATTGCAAACAAAAAGTCATCAAATTAAGTTAAACTTTAAGATTTCTTTCATGTTTAACTACAAATCTTTAAATTTCACAGGCTTACTTTTTACTTATATTTCTATCACTATCAAGTCCACATTACTATTGGACACATTAATGTGAAATATGAAATATTAAAGAGTGAAATGTTGCAGCGCCCTCTGATGGCAAGTTTAGCACACTGAACAGCCAAGGAAAACATTATGAGACCACTTGAAATTTCTCTGTATCTCTGGATATTACCGGAATTATATATATATATATATATATATATATATATATATATATATATATATATATATATATATATATATATATATATATATATTTTTTTTTTTTTTTTTTTTCCAAACCATTTTAAATAAGTGTTCAAAATGATCATAGATTTTATCTGAAAATTTTAATTTCTTTACTATTGAATAAGAGTGATTCTGGTTTTAAACACTATGCATTTTTTCTCATTTTCTTTTTGTGCGAGTGTTTTTGTTGTTTGTTTTAGTTTTGTTTTGTATGTTAGCATATAGATATGTTGTACATAACAAAGAAAAAATATCTTAGTTTTATGGCTTCAGCATTAGATAATAGCCTGCGTCAGGGTGTGTTCACACTTGACATGTTTTGATTAAAATTATCTCTGGTGTGATTGTTCTCTTGTTACAGCTCATTTAATTAGTGTGAATGCTGACATCCGAGCCCTGGTGAGTGCTCTTAAAGGTTTAAAAGATATATTAATTATTATTTTTTTGCCTATTTTCGTAATGAAGAGAACATTTGAAATATCCAAGTATTTCTTTATGTAATAGAAACATTCTTTCTTCATTGAACCATCAATACCAATAAAGAACAGTTGTTTCGAATCAAACATCTCATAAAAGTCTGACATTGTCTGTGTTTAAGTATCATTATCAGGTCCCTGATGGATCTATCAACACAGAAAGCATGAAAAAGGAGAATCAATAACTTTGTTTATTAAGACTTTTTATGCAACCATGTGGAAAAGCTCTATCTTATTTTATTATCATCTGCAATTTGATTGAGTCATTCTTAATGTTTCATAGAAGCAAGACTCTTAACTGTGTCCTTTCCATAAGGGCTGCATTTCAACTGGCCATTTTTCCCCCAAGTAGCGGGTTTTGAGCACTTCAGCTTGGAAAAAAAAACACTTCAATATGGCAGACATTATTGATTTAATTCTGAAGTGCTATCCAAAACACATATGCCCCGTTTGGATTGCACCAATATTGTCTTTTTGTCTTATTTTCATACACACTCAACGGCCACTTTATTAGGTACACCAGTCCAACTGCTTGTTAATGCAAATTTCTAATCAGCCAATGGCAGCAACTCATTGCATTTAGCCATGTAGACATGGTCAAGATGATCTGCTGCAGTTCTACAGAGCATCAGAATGAGGAAGAAAGGTGATTAAAGTGACTTTGAATGTGGCATGGTTCTTCACGTCTCTGGAATCTACTGGGATTTTCCCGCACAACCATCTTTAGGGTTTACAAAGATATGTCAGAAAAAGGGAAAATATCTAGTGAGCGGCAGTTCTGTGGCCACAAATGCCTTGTTGATGCCAGAGGTCAATGGTTCAGGATGGTGGTGTTGTAATGGTATCAGGGATATTTACTTGGCACACTTTGGGCCCATTAGTACCAATTGAGCATCATGTCAATGCGACAGCCTCCCTAAGAATTGTTGCTGACCATGTCCATTCCTTTATGAATGCAGTGTACCCATCTTCTGATGGCTACTTTCAGTAGGATAACGTGCCATGTCATAAAGCACAAATCATCTCAGACTGCTCTAATGAATATGACAATGAGTTCACTGTGCTCAAATGGCCTCCACAGTCACCAGATCTCAATCCAATAGAGCAGGTTTGGGAGGTGGTGGAACAGGGCATTCAGATCATGGATGTGCAGCCGACAAATCTGCAGCAACTGTGAGATGCTGTCATGTCAATATGGAACTAAATCAGAATATTTTCAGTATCTTCTTGAATCAATGCCACTAAGGATTTAAGGCAGTTCTGAAAGCAAAAGGGGGTCCAACCCAGTACTAGTAAGGTGTACCTAATAAAGTGCCCGGTGAATGTATATATTATTGATAGCTTATATTGGGAGAAATAAGAAGCACAGATGTGTGGTATACAATGGGGAAACGTGATACTCTCTGTAGTCCTAGCTGAAATGTGAACATGCGAATATATATATATTATCTAACTAACTGATAATATATGGCTTAAAATAAAAACAACAAGCAAACTTTGAATATTCCCTGCTAAAGAGTGTTGAATTTTCTTTTAATATGTTCTATTGTTACTACAATCCAGAAAGGCAGCAGTGTAGGACGGTTTGCTTGAGCTTTTAACACAAAATTGTAATGCATTCCTTTTAACAGCAACCTTCCCCAACACTGGGGATTAGTAACATGTTGCCCTGAAGATCACACACCCCTGACTACATTTGGGCCCTAATAAATAATAAAACAGTCAAATGATTTAAAAACAATGATTTTTCATTTAAACAGAAGGAAAGAGATAGATGTGTGTTTAATTGACAGATTTTTGGCTTTGGTATCTCTGAACAGATGTTGGTATGTGCTCTGACCATTAAGATTAAGTCTAAAGTGTCTGAACGTGGTATAATTTTGTGCGAGGGTAATGACCTTTAAGCAAAAAAAAAGTCTTCAGTCTTTTGCTAAAAACATTCGCACGGGTGCATAATCCTCTCTCTCACACACAAACACAGTCTTCCCACACAGGCATTAAAAGAGTGTGCTGCAGTTTATCTGGGTCAAACATAAAGCCCCCGCAGCCCTCCGTGGTCTTCAAGAGAGAAAGCAGAGAGAGAATGAGAGGAAGAGAGGGGACATGAGGGTAAATAAATAAAACACCCAAAGAACACACTGATCCTCTCCACGTGATGCACATTGAGTACTGGGCAATCCAAAGAGAGAGAGAGAGAGATGGGGCAAAACCACACAGAGACAGATGTGGATGTTTTTGAGAAGGCTGGATTCTAACACAGAGGACTGTCCTGATTTCTAGAAGGTAAGACACTTATTCAATCATCTATCAATCATTTCAAAGCTGTATCATTTGTTAGTTTAAATCAAAGTCTGACAGACTGCAAATTTGAGACATTTATTTAAAAGTTTACAAAAAAATCTTATATTGGAAACTACAAAAAAAGGTAATTTTTTTAAAGTTGTAAATAAAGATTATTGCAGAGTGCTTTATGGGTGAAATTATTTCTTCTTATAAATTCCAAGTATAATTAAATGTTTCTTGTTGATTCTTTGAATCTCTGAATTTACTAGCAATGTTTGTGTAAAAAGTCATATAAAACTATTCTCTTAGTAAATTAGAACTTTGTTATAAATTTTCTAAACCTGTCAAAATGCCTGTAAAATATGTATTTACAATCTTTACAGTCACACAAAAGTCGCATGTTGAAATGCTGAAACAAAAACAATATTGTGTTTCTTATTTAATGAACATTATTTTGTATATTACATTTTGATTCTTTATATAATCTATATATCTTTATATGATTCCTTATATATTAAAACAAACTGGCCTTTATTGTGTGTGGATTTAAAAAAAATAAATCCATAAGCGTCGCTTCCTTCTATTTGACAGGGCAAAATTATAAAGCATATAATAAAAGCAAACACTCCACCACAGACAGCAACAAGCTGAGGACACTCTAAAGTTTGACAAATATTACAGCTGTTGGGCAACATAATGTTTTTCTGAGTTTTTTAGTCGAGAATGTAGTTGTTTAGATTGCAACTATGCAGTTTATTTATGAGCATAAGGCCATTTTTAAATATTTATAGTTTCTGAAAGACAGAGCATTAGCGGACATTAGCCTCCCTGCTGAAAAAAACTGCTTAAACCAGCCTAGGCTGATTGTCTGATTTTAGCAGGTTGACCAGCCTGGTTTAGAGGGGTTTTGGTCTTAGCTGGTCAGGTTGGAAAATTAGGCTGGTTTAAGCAGTTTTTTTTCAGTAGGGTTTTTCAAAGACATCTTTGAGCAAATACGGTTCATGATGTTCATCCACAAGATGGCAAGAGACCACATAATAAGCCCTAAAAGAAAAACAGTGTAATGGGATATATGCATACAGATTTTTAAATATCAGCCAGGCAGCCCAAGGGAATTATATATATATATATATAAATAAGCCCAAGTCTTTCCACTACAAAATTGTCACATTTAAGATCTGATTTCTTTTAAAAATTTGCGATCTTCACTGGCTGTTAGATATACGATACAAAGTGTGTCTCCGTTTGGACAAGAAGCATTGCATTAAGTTCCATTTTACCCCAGCATTTTCAATGGAATTTCTGTGCTAGCCTAGCTGTCTTTCATCTCTTTTACTGTTGAACAACTGAACGCTTAAGTCTAATTAACTGAATGTATTGTAATTACATTACAACATCGATGCTGTAAAAACAGCCTTGCGAAATTGAAAATAGTCACATTAAGCTTTCACCGGTTTATCGTTGGATTTAAAACCCTAGCTGTGAATAGAGCCCATTTCAAACTACAGCTGATCAAATCATTATTAAACTGGTAAATGACTTTTTAAGTCGATCTCTCTCTGTTTTGTATGTTGTTGTGCTGTATTTATATCATAGTAATATTGTGATCTCCCGATTGCAACAGAGAAATACTTTGAAATATATGTTGATTAATGGAATTTCATGCCGTTCAGCCTTATAATCTTAAAACGTGAGCAAATTCACCAGTTTTGTCATCACTTTAGATATTACACTAGAGAATCATTCAAACACTCGCTCCAAAGTGACATTAGTGAAGTAGTAGCAACGGTTTCTGCTGTTCTGACATCAGCTGCAGATGTGAAGGAATGGTGGAAGAAAGTAGTTCCTCTTACTCAAGGGTTTTGAGACTCTCTGTGTTTGATTTTCTTTTTATACACACTATTATTCTGTCGAACTGTTGTACAAACACAATATCACACTTGTAGCAGTGAGATGTGGCTGTATATCGTCACTGGTGGTGGGACACTAAGGCAACACATGCCTCCCACCAGTACCATTATACAGCCACATCACACTGCTACTCGGGTTATATTGCTCATTTATATAATTATTTAATTCATTCATTTTTTTGTCACCTTAGTCCGTAATCTGGGGTCGCCACAGCGGAATGAACCGCCAACTTATCCAGCACATTTTTACGCTTGGGATGCCCTTCCAGCCACAACCCATCTCTGGGGAACATACTTATTTATTTATTTATTTTAATATTGTTTATCAGTTTATCAGTCATACCTTACATTAAGGTTTCATTAGTTAACGAATACATTAATACAAAAATGTACAACATTTATTAACCATAGTTAAACATTTACTGATGCACTATTAAAATTTAATTTCATGATTATTAACATTAGTTAACACACTGTTAACATGCAACAAACAATGAACAAATTAATAAAGATTAATAAATATTGTAATCAGTGTATTTTTAATTGCTGATGCAAGTAAAAAAACATAAATAGTAATTGAATAAATATTAAATAATATTAACTAATACAACTTAACAAATGTTACCTATTTATCATATTTATGATGCATCTTTGAAAAATATACTTATAGAGAGAGGAGTCTTACTGTAAAACTAGCTCATTCCTTTCTTTCTTTATTTCCGTCCTTCTGTTCAGAAGAATCATTTTGTCCAGTTGCACCATGAAAAAAATAAAAGCACATGAAAGCACACACATGTTATGTTCTCTCCCCCATGGTGTAGCTACAGCTGCAGATATTTGTGTAGATATAACATAAACAGATTCCTGAACACCACACACACATTTAACGTTTACCTTCCCTTCTATTTTTTTTTTATTTCTACCCAGAGCCAGTGAGTGCTGCACGTCTCCACAGTTCAACATGGCTAAGTGGGACTCAAAACTCAAACTGTTACTTCTCATCCATCTCTTACTATCTGACTTGGCATTTGGCAAAGCTCCATTCCCTCAAAGCAACCCGAATCCTTCAATCGCCACAAAAACCTCTCAATCTGCGCAAGTAGAATCCCAAGAGGTCGAAGATGCTCTCTCGGCCGCCCACGAGTTGGTCTCCAACCTCTCAACGTCTCTGCAAGGTCATCTGGATCTTCAAAGCAATGCAAGCTGCGCCGAGCTAGCTAATGGAGGCTGGAGAGGAAGCGCATTCTCTCAGGAGCTTTTAGGCTTGACAATGGTACCAGTGTTGGTGTCAGCAGGATGTTTGTTTGAAGCCCAGGATTTGGTAATGCAGCTTTACGCAGATCTGGGCCAAAATGATACACACGATTTTTTGGATGACATAGTGATGCTTATCAAAAGAGGTGAAAAGAGAGAATCTGCACATGCCAACGGCTTCCAAACCATACGCAAATCACAGCACCACCTACAGGCTGTTTTATTCAACATCAATCAGCTTGCTGGGGTGGATGAGAGAGCTGCTGTTTATAACGGTAAAGTGTGGCAGTGCAAGAGGTGGTTGATGGTAAAAGCCTCCAACTTACAGGGTCAAGCCACAGAACAGATTAAGCCACTGAGTCTTGAGGAAGCAAAACAGGCTTGTAGAAGAATGGGAATCCAATGTGCAGGATTGAGGCGTGATTCAGACTCTTATCGCATTATCTTAAGACCTGGAAGTCGCATTGTGCCTTCATCTAACTCCGATAGCTGGATTCAGGATTGCAAGTTTGGGTCTGCACGTTGGCGCCGAAATGGGGTTCCTCGACATCGCTGCGTAAATGAAAATGAAAAGCGAGTGTATAAGGTCGTGGAGTGGATTCCTGCAGTCTCTACGCTTTATAATCTGGGAACGGCTGTTTACTATGCTTCAGTCAACTGTTATGGGACTGCAAAAGAGAGAGCAATCTTTACCACTGTGGATCTGAGCACGGACGCCCTCATGGCCATGACTGGGGGAACCGCAGGGGTTGCTGGTTATGCGCTGGGGGCTGGTTTAAAAACAGGTGTGAAGGCCGGGATTAAATATATGCTAAACAACATGAAGGAGGAAGAGGACCTGCTAATGAACCAGAACAGTTGGGTGAATGGAGGTCTCACTGACTAATAGAGTGCATAACTGTCTGTTTCCGAATATATTTCTCTGATTTATTTTTCGCACAGTGATTTAAAAAAAGAGTCTTCATAAAAGCATTAAGATACATAAACAAGCCAACTAGCAATGACGAGAATCACAACATTACTCTGAAGCAGAGACATACACTCACCGGCCACTTCATTAGGTAAACCTTACTAGTACCAGGATTGATGAGTACACTGTGGTCATAAAGGAATGTACATGGTCAGCAACAATGCTCAGGTAGTTTGTGGCATTGACATGATGCTCAGTTGGCACTAATAGGCCCAGTGTGTGCCAAGAAAATATCCCCCACACTGGCACCAACAACAATGCCACGTTCAAAGTCACTTAAAGCACCTTTCTGATGCTCGGTTTGAACTGCAGCAGATCGTCTTGACCATGTCTACATGCCTAAATGCAGTGAGTTGCTGCCATGTGATTGGCTGATCAGAAGTTTGCGTAAACAAGCAGTTGGATAGGTGTACCTAATAAAGTGGCCAGTGAGTGTATATGAAAATAGAACAAAAAGACAATACTTGATGCAATCCAAAAGGGGCATATCATCAATTGAACAGCACTTTGGAGTGAGAGCAATTATGTCTGCCATATTGAAATTTCTTTCCAAATCGAAGTGCTACTTGGGGAAAAATGGCCAATTGGAATGCAGGATTTAGTAAGGTATAACTGATGGCCACTTCAGGCCTCCATGTTCTTTTCCTTAGAGATGTTGTCGGATGTCAAATAGTGTTTCCTATCTGGAAGGGCTCATCCCTATGACCTAATCCTTTTGAAACTGTAAATCCACAGGGTAAACCCTTCGAAGGAATTAGGGCATAGGCATGAGCACTTCTGGATAGGACACAGTGAATGTGTACTTTATTGTCTCGGTTCTATAGTGCTATATGCCACTTTCTATCTTGTTAATGTTCCCAGATATCCTTCAAATCTAAAAGGTGTTTAACCATTGCATGCATCCGAAGTCTGTACACTATTTGCAGATTCAGTTTGTAGCTGAAGAATTGTATATTGTTAAAAAGTCATTTATTTTATCCTACTAAAAATAAACTGTGTCTGATCTGCAGCTTAATATTTTATGTATGTTTTTGTCATGGTATTAGCACATTTTTAAATAAAATAATAAAATTAAACAGTCTTTGTAATGTTTTATTGTTGTGTTTATAGCGGTTATGTGGGTATAGACCATTTTGAAGGATGTAAACAATAACAGTGGTCCTAACCATATGGTCCTCCTCCTAACACATTTCCTGTTTTACATTTTTAATTTCCAAAGCTTCATATTAATAAAAAATGCTATGTCAGCTGTTTAACGTCAAGTTATGACTGAGTTGCTTCTTGTTACAGTTAGGAAATAGTTTGATAACAAACAGGAAATGTGAATGGGCCAATGACATCACCAAATCGAAATGGTTCAATTCAATTCAATTCAGCTTTATTTGTATAGCGCTTTTACAATGTAGATTGTGTCAAAGCAGCTTCACATAAATGGTCATAGTAACTGGAACAGTGTGGTTCAGGTTTTAGTGTTTAAGTTCAGTTCAGTTCAGTTCAGTTCAGTGTGATTTAATCATTACTGAGAGTTCAAACACTGAAGAGCAAATTCATCGATGCGTAGCTCTACCAATCCTGAACCATGCGAGGCAGTGGCAACAGCAGAGAGGGGAAAAAAACTTCACCTGATGGGAGTGAAGAAAAAAAACCTTGAGGGAACCAGACTCAGTTGGGCACGACCATTTTAATTTCTCCGCTGGCCAAAAGTCTTGTGCAGAAATGGTCTAGTAACTGATGCTTATTGAGGTAGAGTGCCACAAAATTACGTTAACATGATATTGATGCGTGTATCCACAGCTGTATCTCTTCTAGACTCTTCTAGACCAAATAAGCAGGAGACACTCGTAGCTTCCGGGAGAGGTGGGATGTGATGATAAGTTTGTATGGCCTTTTAAATTTTTTTATTTTTATTTTATTTTTTTATTATTATTTTTTTGTTGCAAAAAAACAGTTGACAAGTTTGTAACAACATTTGTTTACAATGCAGAATATGAATTACATTGTCAATGAAAAGAGATATGAGAGAGAAAGACAGAAAAAAAAAGAATAAAGAACATGATATAAACTTGAGGGTAAGACATTTAAGAATCAAGAACAGTACATAAATTGAAGTCATTACAAAATGAAATAGTTCTGTTTGCTTTCTTATTTTTATATAATGAAATTAATTGTATATAATGACTAAATTCTTGCAAAAACACAGGAAAATATGGTTTAGTATTAGTAAATTTGCATTTGTGGATATGGAATTTACAAAGAAAATAAATTAAATTTATAACAAAACAAGCATTTCTCTTAGTAGGGGCAGATTCATAATAACCAAAAACAATTTCTTTAAAAGTAACAGAAACATCTTGTTGTATATTATCATTAATAAATAATCCAATATGTTTCCAAAATTGTACAGCATAATTACACTCCCAAAATAAATGAAAAACAGTTTCAGTATGAAATTGACAAAATGAACATTTTACATCAATATTAGAATTAAACTTTTTGAAAAATTGTTTTATAGGATAAAATTTGTTGATCAATTTAAAAGACACCTCTTTGACCTTGTTGGTGAGAAAATATTTTTGTTGCAAAGACCATATTTTTTCCCATATCAAATCTATAGATATTATTTCATTATGGCCTTTTAAATTTCCGCGGGACATTCCTTCGGAACACGACGTCATTTCTTAACATGTGAGCTCGTGGTGAGTTTCGTTTCTATCTCTGCTCGCCGTTCCATTAACCCCCCTCTGCTGTGAAGAATTTGATTGACGGGTGCTTCGACCAATTGTGGCGGTACCTGCATCGTGTCCGCCAATGAATGATCTGTAAACGTCTCTAAAAGGCAGTGCTTAATCACTGAGTAGGCGGGCAGAAGTGCATCGAGTGGAAGCACTAAAGTCCCTCCTACTCGATTGGCCGTCTACAGAAGGGAACAGCAGAGGGAGGATCATTAAAGAGCCCTCGATTTCCTGAGAAGTGCTGGACTTGTTTATTTACTCTCTAGCTGATGTTCAGTTCGGTGCTATATTCTTTGTCATTTCTTTATGCCTGCGAAAGGCGTATAGCAAACTGAGATTGGAAGATCAATTCCTTGAAAGGTACAGACGATTGTTTCAGGTGAGTGATTTATAATTGTTTATGTGCTAACATGGCAGTTATTTACTATGAGCTGCTCATTACTTCACATTATCAGTCATGTGCAGGTCTATGATACTGTTACTGTATATAATAACATGTAATTATTATAAAATGTTATGAGTGTTTGTGTCACGCGTTGCACTCAAGGTTACTGTAGTTTTCGACTCAGATTTTCCATTGTTGCCTGATGAGGGCTGTATGTGCAGGTGTGGAAGGTATTAATCACTGCGTGAGAGCATGCATGTTGTTTTACAGCTTTCGACACCTTTACCTCTGCTAAAATAAAAAATAACTTGCAACAATTCAACAAGTTATATTTTATAATAAAAAGGCCAATTTTAAAATCATCTTGGACAAAAAAAAGGTTCAAGTCAAGAACAGAAATTACTTTTGATGAAAATTTATTTGGGAGAATTAGTAAGAAAATTAGGTAAGAACTGTTGAAAAATTGTTATTTATTTCAATTTAATGTACACTTTTAAAACTTTGGTTTGATAAGGAACTCAATTTTTGACGTATGAAAGAAATTGTTAGGTAAAAAAATAATGCTGTGAAATATTACAATTTAACAAAACTGTTTTAATCAAACCTATATTGTAATTTATACAACACAATAAGAAGACATTGTATGCATTTGTTTTAAAGCAAACCCTCAAATTCATACCAAAACTAAACAAATATTAGTGGACCAACCTAATAAACACTGCTAGGGAGGAAATGTCAAGAATGTGATGCAAAAGCTGAACTGAAAGCAGCCATGCTCCACTCTTCAGTTTCACATAATACTTTAGAGGAGTCCTTCAAATATGTTGATTCAGATGTGTTGAAATGTGTATTATTGTAGTTATTAAGGTTGAAAACCCTTGTGCAGCTTAATAGACTATTATTATTTGAGATTTGCTATATATTTTCAGGATTCTTTGATGAAAATATATCATTTATTTGACAATAATCTTTTGTAACATTATAATAGCATTGTTGTTACTGTAAATAAAAATTACCCTGTAAATACTGGGATTGTTTGTGCTTATTATCATTGAGGTTAGGTTTACCACATACTTGCGTAACTGTTCTGAAAAAATAAACAAAAACTTGTTGTATTACATTGTTTTCCAACTTCCAAACCGCTCAGAACTGGGAATGTTTTTGTTTTTGTTTCTGAAAATAAGCACAGAAACAGCATTTAGGTTCAACATCTGACTTGCAAAGAAGTGCAGGTCACTCTCAGTCCTGACCAGTCCTTATTTGACCAAGCACCAAACCTGAAATTTGTTTCTTTCTGTAGAATGACACAGTGGGACCAATTGCAGCAGCTGGATACAGTGTATTCACAGAGGGCTTTTGATCTATACAATGGAGATGAATTCCCAATGGAAGTCAGACATTATTTGGCGCAATGGATTGAGGGCCAGGACTGGTGAGTATTGAATCTATCTGAGTGAGCAACAAGTAAAATCCTGCTGAATGTTTTTTGTCCATAGCTTTTCTAAAGCAGACTGTTGGGCTGAACAATATAATTTCAGCATCGATAACGCAATGTGAGGATCTGCAATAGACACATTGCAGGATGTCAACCAATTTCAAGTGAATTTAAACCTTTAAGACACATGAAATTATGATGCTTGCCACAACGATAAATTGTATTTAATTACTTAAACAATAAAAACTATACTGTGTTATTTTACATTCGATTTTTGAATTTATTTACCTCAATACTGTCAGACACCACAGAAAACCATAAAGCACTGTTTATTTCATTTTTATCTTTGTTCTGTTGTTTTCTTCTGAGCTTTGATTGATCTCATTTTGCATATTTATTTTTAAATATTATATTATGAATTCTTTTCATGTAATATTATGAATTCTTTTCAAATAGAGTTTATAATATGAGACCATTAATCAGACTATTAGTAGCCACACAGAGAAATTTAAGGTATATGTTTATCTGTATTATGTCTGTCACAGGGAGCGAGCTTCTCGAGACTCTTCCCAAGCCGCTTTCCTGTTCCAGGTGCTTCTGGAGAATCTGGACAACCAGTTCAGCCGTTTTTCTCAAGAGAGAGATTGTTTCTTACTGCAGCGTAATTTCAGACGCTACAAACAAAACTTCCATGTAAGTGTTCTTCTGCTGCTAAAATAATCTTTCCTGATTTTCCTCTGAAATCATTGGATTTTTAAGGCCTATTAAAGTGTTGAACAGAAACTAGACTAAGGGCACTCATATAATTAAAGTATAATTCATTCATTCATTTTTTTTTCGGCTTACTCCCTTTATTAATCTGGGATCGCCACAGTGGAATGAACCGCTTATCCAGGATGTGTTTTACGCAGCAAATGCCCTTCCAGCCGCAACCCAACACTGAGAAACATGCACTTTTGCATTCAAACATACTCATACTCTATGGACAATTTAGTTTATTTAATTCACCTATTGCACATGTTTTTTGGACTGTGGGGGAAGCACCTACAGGGGAAACCCATGTGAACACGGGCAGAACATGCAAACTCTACACAGAAATGCACAGGTGTGAGGCTATCGTGCTACCCACTGCGCCACCATGTCACCCTAATTTAAGTATAATTTAATTTACAATTTGTGTGACTTTATTTAAAAAAAATCATGCCAAACCAATTTTGTTTCAGCACATAAAATCAGCTTGCCAAAGCAAACATCATGTCAACACTGAAAATGTGCAATATATTAGGAATTGTCACACGTTTTTTCATGTTTGATAAAAGCATACAGCTGTTCAGTTATTTCAGATTTTTTTCCCTCTTAACAAACAATGAAAAAGTGCGCACCAATGTCCAGTTTACAGTCAAAGCCATGCTCTGACATTATGCACCACTCTACACATCACTTTTTACATCAGTTATAATTGTTGTAGCCATTTTTTTAAAGTGCATTTTATTTAGTGTGAACATACATTTTTGGTGTTTAG